GTAATGTATGTAAAAATGCGTAAAAATGTATTATAATGGGTCAAGCAATTAAATGTAGTTAAAATTCTGTGTGGTATATTTTCAAGATTTTTCTGGGAAAGTATGGATTAATTTTCGCTTGATTTTAATTTTTTTATTTGTGCGTATTAAATCAGAATTCATCATTTCGGCACTGCTAGATAATCTTGGTTCTAGTCTAAACGACAAAGATTAGTTTATTTATCGTGGCAGAGCGTTAAATAGCTATCTGGAGAAGGATGCCGTTTTGGAGGATTTACCGTGCATAATGTAACGCTAATACTACCTAAAATGTTTCCTAATATTTCATGTTAATTGATTCAATAGTTAAACTATAATGGAAGAATTATTTAATCAAATCAAAACTTATTGCAGATTCTGAAAGCTTTTGATGCTTTATGCATTTCATAGCATTTCAGATCCAATTCTTATGGCTCAGTATTTGCCAATTTATAGTACGTAATCATATTTTAATAATAATTTTAAATAAAAATAAAAATATATAATTTATAAAGTAATAATATATAATTTTAAATGTATATCAAAGTGTATAATGATATACATTTCGCGTGTCATTTTAATTACGTGACTTAAGTGATATGACAATAGTATAATTTTTTATCATGGCACTGAATCTCTATTTGAAACTATCATCCCATAGATTGCATTTTTCATATTTAATGAATGCCCAGAAAACGAAATTATAGTAGATTAACCGTTGCTATGCCAAATTTAATAATTCGTATTTTCCAAATTACGCATTAAAATTTTTTTTAAATATTTTAACCCGATTATGACTTTTTAATCTAATCAAGACTTAAACCCCAACCTCTCGTAAGACAATTTTATTCCCGAATTTGCCCTTTTCCCAGTTTGGATACCTTCATTACATTCCTGAAGTTCGTTTATATCAGAGAAATATCTAATGTTAAAATAATTTCAAAGTTCGTAACCACTACAAATGTACAGTAATTAATATTTTCTGAAACAGAAAAAGTAAAAATATGCAGTACCCTCGAAATGTGTATCTTCCGACTTTCCTTCTTCCCAGTAAGCGGGCGTTTTCGTGGTTTTCCCCATGTGTGACGTGAATAAGGGCCAGTTTCCCTTAGAAAGCCCTCCACGAAGGCATCCCTCTCCTTATTGGACTCTGCATATCTTCATATTGTAAAATATATCAAGCGAAAGCTGAATTTTGAAAAAATTAGAAATGTAAGTATTTAAAAAAATACATGTTTTCTTTTATCGCCTGTAAAGTATTCATTTCAGTTCCGTACTTTAATCAGAAAATAGCCAGCGTTCGGTAAAAATGCCTTATTTTCGCAGTAAATAAAAATTATCTTAAATTAATAAATGCAATACTTGAAACAGTTTTGACTACTGATTTAAACTCATGTAACCGATTTGAATTCAAAATTTTTAATTTTATAAAAATATGCTTATTTTTGGTCACAAAATGACAGAAAAAAGAAATTCGTAAGTGGTAAAAGGGTTAATACCTGAAATCAGTAAAATATACACTCATGTCCATAAATTAAGGATAATTTGGAGTCACGCGGAAATCGAACTCTAAAATAAATATATCACCTGTAAAATCACTACACACATCTTCAAGAATCATATGCAAATTTCAGGAAGTAACCACATGACACCGATGGTACGTCACAATGACGAGAGTGTAAGAGGGTGATATATAAGGAATACAGGCAAAGAAGTAAAATTGTTCGCAGGCGCTTTATAAGCATGTCAGAGCAATAACCGAATAGTTGTGACACAAAGGACGCATTTGGATGATTTTTTACGTAGTAGAATTATCGGCCCTCTGGAATGTGGGCGTACCCAACTGGAAGTATCAGACGAACTTGGAATTGCCCAGAGTGTCATCTCCAGGCTTTAGCAACGATTCCAAGATGATGGTAATGTGAGTAGACGCGACAGCACAGGTCGCCGCAGAGTTACAACGCCGAATGAGAACCGGTACTGCCAAAAGAAACAGGCGTAGCACAGCCTCAGACCTGTCTCGTCAGCTCTCTTCAGTCACTTGTACGACAATTTAAACGCAGACCGTGTACAGACGCTTAGGGCAGATCGGTCTATATGCTCGTAGACTTGTCAGATGCGTTCCACATACTGCAACTAACTGTCGCATGCGGTTAGCCTGGAGTAGAGAGCATGCATTGTGAACACCGCAACAGTGGGCTTGTGTGATGTTTTCCGACGAGTCCAGGTTTAGTTCGCAGTCTGATTCTCGCCGGACTTTCATATGGAGAGCTCCAGGTACTCGTTACCACCAAGAAAACATTATTGAACGACATCGTTACGGTGGTGCAGGGGTGCTCGTTTGGGGTGGAATTATTCTGGGTTCCAGAACTGACCTGCATGTTCAAATTGGAACTATGACAAGCCAAATCTATCGGGACGTCATTCTGGAACAACATGTACGTTTGTTTCGGGGCGCCATGCCAATTTGTGTTTATGGTTGACAACGCCCGTCCTCACCTTGCAAACATCGTAAGCGAATGCCTTCAATCGGAGGATATCACCCGTATGGACTGGCCAGCATTCACACCGGACTTGAATCCAGTAGAGCATGTGGGACATACTTGGCCGACGAGTTGCAGCCCGTCAACCTCCTCCTACATGTCTACCGGAACTTCGGAGAGCATTGCTTTTTAGTGGTGTAATATCCCCCAAGATCAGATCGATAATTTGATACTCAGCATGCCTAGGCGTTGTACGGACTGTATTGCATCGTCTGGGAGACATACAATGTATTAACAATTATACCAACCATGTAATATTGGGTTTTTGTAAATAGGTTTTTTTTTTTTTTTTTTTTTTTTTTGTTTTTTTTTGTAATTTGCTCCAGGGAGAAAAAAATCGCTATTTTTTTTTAATAATTTTTTTAATAATATCAAACATATAGCATCTTTTTTGCTCTTTACCTTTTGTTTAATAAATAAGCTTTACAAATAAGTCAGATTTGTTTTGCTTCTAACTCTTCCTTTGCCTGATTTTGCATTATCCTTAATTTATGGACATGAGTGTATATAAAACGATGTGATCGATTTTCGGCAATTGTTTTTGAAAGCGCAGTTATATTTTGTTACATTAATAGCAAAGCTTATATAATACTCTGAAATCGTGCGCTTTTCAAATAAATATGCTATGATTCAGTGTCTCAGAACTATAACTAGAATTATTAAAGTACCCCATAATTTTCAGTTTCATGCATAATGTCAGTGCGGTTCTTTAGAATCTATAATAGCCCTATGCACTAGGATCTTTTGTGATCCTAAATACCTTCATTAAATGCCTGAAGTTCGTTTATATCAGAGAAATATCTAATGTTAAAATAATTTCAAAGTTCGTAACCACTACAAATGTCCAGTAATTAATATTTTCTGAAACAGAAAAAGTAAAATTATGCAGTACCCTCGAAATGCGAATTTTCCGACTGGTAGCCGGAAGTGCTTTCCAGTTACGCCACGAAAGCACACGCAAGAAAAGTAAAAAAGAAAAGCCTTACACTCTTCCCTATTTATAGGGCAACTAGGGAGAAGAGGTCCAATCACCAAATACTGGTGGTGACGAATTGTCCTCCACCACCTTTTCAGGTGTTAATATAGAGTCAATGATCTTTTTTACAATCCAAGAAGCCGAGAAAAATCTACAATGCCTTCTCCGGCACTCGAACTTCGAACCTCCCGTTTTCTAGCCGAACGTGCTTCCAACTACACTAGAAAGGCATAAGAACCACGGGCGACTCGAACCACGGGCCTCTCGAGTATGCGCCGAGTGTGCTGACCATTACACCACGAAAGCATGCTAAGAACCCGGGAGAAATACCTTATATACTGCCCCTTGTAAAGGACGACTGAGGACTAGGGGACACAATCGCCAAATTCTGATGGTGGAGAATCATCATCCACCATCTTTTTTTAGTTCGGGCGCCACTGTAGAGACATTAGGTTATTTTGAAGCAGGAAGACAAGGCGGAAGAAATACCTTATAACACATACACATTAAAAATAAAAGAATGTTTTCTGTTATTTTTGGAAAGGAAAATGACCTTCGCCATCACATCAATAGTGATTTTGGCATCGTGTTATACTCCAATATTTTGAAAATGCAATAATGCTTTCTCATATTTCATGCAGAAGGTGATACCTGGGTGCAGGTTTTGTTAAAGTCTTGCATTATTTTAAGGTAAGGGTAAATACAACGGAAACGTCCTTAATAATATTGTTGTCACTAATTACTTTACTCTGTAGATGCAGTGTTACCACCTTTTATTTCCCATATAATTCGCTAAAAATACTCTCTTGTTGTTGTTTTTGCACTTTCGTTGAAATTCAAAATGTTGTTGGAAGCAGTTGTTTCGTAAAAATTCAAAACGCTATGCTTTAATAACTCAAATTTGCCAGAATTCAATCGTAGTTTTCTGCGGTTTTGTTGGTTTGACACAGTAAATTTGATAATAACTCTGAACCTTTGTCATTTCAACTTACAGTTCGAGCACGAAAATTAGAAAAACAAGTCGATTTAAGATAATGCAAGAAAAGATGTGGGATGTTTGAGTATTGATATAATGCATTTTACTAAATACTGTTTAACTAGACATTTTTAACAAGTGAAATTTTTAATTTCCGGTCACGATTCATCTACAGCATTGAATGCAGCTATTGCTAAGGAAAACGTTCTGCAACGTCACTTCACTCGTCGCTAAACATCTTTCATATTTTCGAATTTTCATGATGCAATATATCGCGTATTTCAAACATTTCATGCTGAAGATGATAATTGCGGTAACGTTTTTTTAAAATTATCATTGCATTTATAACTACAAATAATAAATATTAATTAAATTTATTTAAAAGCTGTAATATCGTTATTCTGAAATTTTGCACTGCCATAATTTACCGTATATTTTATAATATATAAAAATGATGTACCCTTTATTTTCTTCTTCTTCTTTCTAGTGTATGTTATAGTAGAATAAAACTTCGCTGCCCAATGAATACGGACCACAGCCACATCGTGACACGTCACGCCATCTTGCTGCTCTTCGTACTGACTTACTTCGCAGAATGCCGTTCAACTCGCGGTGCCGACGACGAATCGCTAATCGTGCATACGTCCAAAGGCCCAGTCAGAGGTGTTACTATGCTGAGCGGCCATGGCAAGGAAGTGGATGCCTTTTTAGGAATACCCTATGCGAAACCTCCTGTAGGGAAATACAGGTACGTGAACTTTACTAGTATGATTTTCTTAACTGTGTTTCATACCATGATCTCCCTCACATCTGTTGTTTTTGTTTTGTTATTGTGACGTATCTCACTTATCAGACGATAACATCAGAACAAGCTCAAGAACTTCATCATGGCAAGGACAGCAAGATTGCGTTTGCCATTGGAAAGAGCCTTGAGCACCATACTGGTGACAGTACGACTTCGCTGAATTCCACCCCCAATTTTGATGGACAGCACCCGGGGGGGGACTTGTCCGATGGTCTCCTGCCCCTCTTCCCCTACCACCAACCTTCTTTTAACTCGCCGCATATTTAGAATGCTCTCGTGCTGCGCAGAGGCTATACATTGGCAAACATCCATGTTTTTTCCGACATTCGAATCCAAGCTCTTTGGTACCGCTGTAGGCTTCCCTAACAACTATACCGTCTGGGTGGCTCTCACATCTGTACTGTCGCAGGGTGGGGGTCGAACGTTTGTAACCACCATGGAGGTGTCGCCCTAAACAAGTTTCTCCGTACCCTGCTCTGAAGCACCGGCGATCCCTACGTGGTGACCAAAACATTGGGTCATTTACCATTGAGTTTCAATGGGATTTGACGCGTTCGGATGTAAATATTTTGTAATTACGTCGCAAATATACATATAAATGTATATATTTTCTTTTTCTACAACACTTCAGAGTCCTAATTATGTGAAAACAACATATTTTTAAACAACATTTCATTCTGAACGGAATTAAATGCTATACTTTTCACAGGACAGTTTTCTCAGAATGGTTTTAATTTGAATGAAATATTTTCACAAGTTTTCGTTAATTACATTAGAAAAAAAAATTAAGGTAATTCGATTTTATTCGGTTAAGGTACAAAAATTAAGATCAAAGTTTATTGTATTATTAATATTAAAATTATGCATTATTTCTTTTCTATTTATAGAGCTTCTTCCTAAAATACGACATGATTTTTTGGCTTCTTTTAAATCGAAAAATGTAAGTCAATTTATAATTAATGCTCTATTCGGTTCATTTTAAATTAGAGAATTATTAGGAATTACCGAAATACTTTAAATAAGTATTTCGCTAATTCCTAATAATTAAATAGGTATTAAATAGTATTTGACTTTCTCTAAACATTTCTGAAAGGGAATAAAATAAGTTTTTTTTAAGTATTATTTAAAACTTGTAACTGAGTTATTATAAATGTAAAGGGAATAATTCTTTTAATCATACTTATCAGATTTTTTTTACCCTTCATTTTAACAATACATATTCCAAAACTCTTTATTACGTTCTTAAGTGCGCATCTCATAGCATTTGCTTTCCAATACCTTTTAACAGATTGCTTTCCAATACGAACAATTCTTGCTTAAATAATTTTATAACTTATTTGTCAACAGGATTTCAATTTATGTTTACAATTCAATATTAAAGGTATATTATATATTTAGATAACATTTATAATCATTATAAATTAGATACATTTAATCATTGGATTTCTTCACAGTACTTTCACAGTTGTTTATAAGTGAATAAATTCTTCATTTCAAATACATATATAAATAATTTAATGAATATTTAAGTATTTTGTCAAAGGCAGATACATGCTTTTTGCAAGCACATGCATAAATACCCATACATATTTCCTATTTATCATTTCCGGCATGTGCAAATCTTTAATTTCTGTGCATTCACTATATTTTTCGTGTAAAGTAATTTACACTAATTTAGCATACACCCCGAAAGTTTTACATAAAAAATATATATGAATATAATTTGAATGAAAATTATAAGTATTATTTTTAATACCCACTCAAAGGTCAGTTTTTCTTCAAAATTCCTCCACGATGGCATCTCTCTCTTTTAGGCAGATAGCCCTTGCATGCGTTTACTCTATTTAATAAAAAAACTTAATCTGACCTATGTGCCTAATTACAAATATTTTAACATACATAATTTTATATTTACATTTAGCCATCAAGTTTCAAACTTTTCAAATCTTCTAGAAAATAAATTTTGGCAGATCTCTTTTAGCAATTTTCTTAAAATCTATATTTTTGTAGTGCAACAGCTTAGAATTTTATAAAACAAATTCATAATCAAAATCGCTGTTGTTAGTTATCGAAAAATAACCAAGATGTGATTTTTGCGTAAATGTCAGTAAACTATACAAATTGCTATTATTCATTACACTATGAATGTTTCTTTCATGAGAGAGTGTCCCTTTTTCGATTTCTATGGAACTGTCGTGTGTCGAAATACTATCAGAATCTTGTCAAGCGAGCTTCTGAATGTAAACAAAGAACACCCCGTCTGGTGACCCAAGCTTCAAAGCAGTGCTTCAATTCTAGCGCGGAATGGCCCCTCCTCCCTTTCCTACCTCCATGCACCAACCTTCTCTTAACTCGCCGCATATTTAGAATGCTCTCGTGCTGCGCAGACGCTATACATTGGCAAACATCCATGTTTTTTCCGACATTCGAATCCGAGCTCTTTTGTACCGCTGTAGGCTTCCCTAACAACTATACCGTCTGAGTGGCTCTCACATCTGTACTGTCGCAGGGTGGGGGGCGAACGTTTGTATCCACAAAGACCAATTTCAAATTCATGCTGTCGCCGTAGGCCACTTAATGCATTTTTTTGGAAAGCATTGAAGAATGTATTTTAGAATAATAGCGATGGATTACTTTAAGATATTAGTTCTGTTTATTTGATTTGTAAGTAGTTTTGCAAGCAGACTAACAGAGAGACAAAATGTGATATTTTACATATAAAAAATTCGAAATGCCGTTTTAATATATTTTTCATATTTGTTTATATAAAATATAACTAAACTATACACTCTTACTTAGATTACCAAAACCTATTTTCATTTGCATGCTTTGCATTATTTATACTGCATATCTATGTATTGTACAGATGAATGTGCATTAAAATGTTTGCAGGCAATAATTGTAATTTATTCTTCAACTTGCCGTTTAAGAATGCCACAGGCTGCAAAGAAGGAATTCACAAGCCATCAACTGGCTGGTATTGATATAGCATATTGCTACTACAAATGAAATTATATATAGATATATTTCACTCCTATTTCATTTCTAAGGTTACGGCCTTCTTTATTGTCCTCTTTTTGTAGCATCGTCTCTCCCGCCCTCGCAGTGGTACCGTTCTACGGTACTACTGCGAGGGCGAAGGATACGAGGGGGTACGATCTTCATAACTTGTAGTCATAATTTTTTCAGTTGCTAGATTATGAATGGCTTCAAGCTCTTGGAGACCTTAGTGGACTGGTCCTTCGAAGATAATGTGATCCAGGCAGAAGCCATTGACCTAGAAATGTAACAAATTCATGGATCACAGTAGTGTGAAAAATTACCTCTCAATCTGCAATAACCAAGTTCTATCTTTAGAATTTCAAAAATTTGTATCAACTCGTATCTCTTGGATATTTCGAATCACAAAGACTTCTCGACTAAATATGTCTTAAACAACTGATCACAACTGGTTCTAGTTTTAAGAATGTATCAAATAAGGCAACCTTATAAGACTACGATAATTGCGACGCGTTTTATTAAAAGCATAAGAAATTAAACTTTTTAACCAGTTCTTCGATAAAGAAAGTTGCAGACATATCAGATATATTCTGTAGAAAAATAAAATTATTCTTTGGTATATAAAATTTGTCAAAATTATCTGATGTAAATGTCTTTATATCTATGAAACTAACAGCCATATCGTAAAATTTGGTGTTGTATAAAAATGAGTATCCTTAGATTTAAATATTTTTAATTTTAATGCTTCTATAAACATAACATTGGAACCCCTGTAACGATGTTTTTGGAAATAAAATAAACAGTTTCTAGAAGTTTGTATTCAGAATGTTCTAGAACATTTCTAATCGAAAATCTAACATGTATAGCTCATGTTTTCGGTATTTAGGTTCAGTATTCAGTGGTTTAACAATTCTTGTTTGTTTATAAAAACATTTTTATCAATAAATTTTGTTTTCCATTTAGGTGTTCTGCTCGTGAGAACTTTAAATTATTTTATTGTTACGAGTGATTAAACTCGTCACAAAATATCAAAATGTCTACTGTATTTCAGTTATTTCTTTAGCATTGTTGCACGACTCACACTTTAAGATATATTTAGATTTGCAATCTTTGATGAAACAGACTGTATACAGGCTTTAAAGGCAAATCCATCATTTTATTTTGAAATAAATGGCCCAGATTGTACACGTCAGTTCTGTGATTCGTAAAAAAGACATTCCGGTCGAAGAAAAGATATTTATGCTTATCATTAGCATTTTTCTTTGTGACTGTGAAATGAAACGTTTTTTAATCCATTTACTGACCTATATATATTTTAAACGTGTAGGGTTTATATTTATTTTAACTAACATTTATTTTAAGTTTAAACTATCTTTCCTGTCAAGCCTTACTTTCTCCTGGAATTGCCAATGCCAGAGTATGTAAATTTTAGTAGAACGTGCAAAGTATTCAAATCTTTAGCAGACGTAATTTTGAGTTAAATAGAAGGGAAACAAGTTCGAAACTGTGCTTTCTTGCTTCACGAGCGTAAAGGTGGCTAGGTAGAAATTGAAGAACCGCGCTTTTCGGCCTGTGTGCTTGCCTCGGCAGATAATTGAATCTTTCAACTTAATATTCAGAAGTTTGCTGAAATATCAGCTGTATCTTAGAACGCGGTTAGGTTAGTTACGTTTAGAGAGCCTCGTAGGTAGTAACTAGTTATTATTCATTTTTAGTTTCTTATTTTTATTTTACCGCCGGGTCGGCGTAAGTTTGTGAGCGTCAAGTGCACGCATCTGTAACTTCTAAATTAGAATAAAAAGGGAGTTAAACCCTTCTTAAGAGTTTTGTGTACTTTCCAGTTCATAGCAGTCACTATTATTGTTGCGTGTAGGTTGGGGCCGCGCAACACCACAAACGTCATAACTATTTTTATTCCTTTGTACCAACTAAAGTAAGTATTGCAATCTCGAAAATTTTCGGGTATCATATATTAATGAAAATATCGGTTTTGACAGCTTTCGAGTCCATATAAACGACGCTTTTGCATGCAATCTGTACGTACAAACAGAATAAAGGACTGTTTCCCTAAAAAGGATGGTAAAATGGATTTCAGAAGAGTTTTTTTCCTTGACGTCTGTTTGAAACAAAGGCTGAAAATGTTCTTTGATAACTCATGAAGTACTTATTATTTCATTTTTAGTAATAGTTTTTTATGTTATTTTATTTTTATACCTCTTTAGTATCAGACAAAGACCAGAGATTTTGGAAACAAATATTGGAGATTTTCTTTGATAATTGACATTTAACTTCCTTTGAGTGTTGTGGATATAAGAAATATAATTCAGTTTCTAGATATAAAACTCTTTATTTCAGAATTTCTATGATAAGCCCAAGATAATTAACTCGAAAAAAAAAATGTTTTTCAGTGAATTTTCAAAACAGGAAAAATATTAGTACAGAAATGCTTAATATCGTATTCTTTCTTTATGGATATTAAATACAAAAGTTCATAGTTATCGCCATAAGTCACCCCATCTGTAAAAGAATATTGAGTACTTCATGTAAATGATGAATGTTGTATTCTTATTAATGAACATCGTCTGACGACGACAGCAGAAATAGCATTTATAGCGGCACTGCTGATATGGTTCGCCCTAACGCAACTTGACAGTGAAGTGGGCATCAATGTATACGCGTAATTCAGGAGACATCATAATTAAAAATCACTGGGTATCACGTCTGGAGATCAGTGTAGTAAGCCTTAAAGTAGGCCGCATTTCAGCTGCAAATTGAGAGTAAAAGAAACACAGCAGAGTGATTCTCCATCCCCCATAAATGTGATAAAATCATGTTTTTGCCTTTTAGTTTTAAACTTAGTATCTTTATATATATAAGCGGCTAACTAAAGTGTGTGTCGCCGATAGCTTATTCTTGCCACTCGGAAAAATGAGCGCGGAAATTAACGTTTCCGCAGTTTTTAATTAATATCTCAACCGATTAAAGTCGTACGAAGATGAATGAGAACGGTATCGATGGATTCGGAGAATATTTTGGAATCCGAGGATATGCGTCGCGAATTTCAACTCGGCGCCGTTCCGTAGATATTCGAGAAAAAAGAATTTGGCACGTACCCAAATCCCTCTAATTGGAAAAACACGAGAAAGAAAGCGGAAAATGTAGGGTAAACGTAGGGGGAAAATTAGTTTTTAATTAATATCTCGGCTAAGTAAAGTCCCAAGAAGACGCGAATGGTCAAAATGGCGTGCCACAGACCTGAGGAACCCAACGGTGTGCTTCGCTAAGCCCGGGAGCCAGCCGTTTTGGAGGAGGTGATGTTACTTCACCCCATATATATATATGCGGCTTAAGTGTCTGTTTGTCGCCGATAGTTTATTTGCTTGCGTAACTGTACTAGCAAATGGGCTGAAGTTGCCACGACACAGGGTTCCCGTTTCAATTGAGACGTAGACAATTTCCTGTAAAACTGGTCTTTGCTATGACCATCCATAAATCTCAGGTCCAAACGCTTAAGCCTGTTGGCATATTTTTACCTGAGCCTGCATTTGAACACGGTCAACTTTATGTTGCCTGTTTAAGAGTTCTTCAAAGACCGGACGTAAAATTAAAAATAGTGGATGGTCCTCTGAAGGCGAGCTGAAAAATGATGGAAAGATCTACCCAAGAAATGTTGTACTAGCCAATGGGGTGAAGTTGTCACGGCGCAGGGTTGCCGTTTAAAATTGAGACGTAGACAATTTCCTATAAAACTTGCCTTTTCTATGACCATCAGTCTCAGGGTCAAACGTTTAAGCGTGTTGGCATTGTTTTACCTTAGCCTGCATTTGGACACGGTCAACTTTATGTTGCATGTTCAAGAGTTCGTGAAAGAATGGACGTAAAATTAAAAATATTGGATGGTCCTCTGCAAGGAGATCTTAAAAATGATGGAAAGATCTACACAAGAATGTTGTGTACAAAGAGATCTTTGACATGCAAATTAACATTTCATTATTTAAATCACCTTTATTGATTGAGCTAGCGGTGGGCTCTTAAGAAATGTACCGCCAGTGGTTTCCTTCATTGTATTCTAATTTAAGCAATTAAGCAAGTAGAAGGGGAAAAAACCTACTGGGGTAGTAAGCAAAGGGGCGTCCTCGCCGCCTGCCCTGAGTAATTCAGTTTAAATTAACAGACACCTTTTCACGAATCATTTTAATTACAATTTATAATATCTAGAACAGCGGTCATTTTGTATGACCGCCGGGCTTTCTTGTTGTTTCATAACACGTTAGCATAATGCTAACTTTTGAAAGTGAGGTTCAAAGGCAGAGTCTTACGTTTTCCCCATTCCAAGATGCAACGACGTCTGGTAAGCAATTACATCGTTTATACAATGAAATTATTTAAAAAATTTATTAACCTACAATCTGGAAACTTGAGATTAGAATTTAATACCTCAAAAGCTTACCATTAACGTTTTTAAAAGCATTAAAAATATATAATAAGCACAAATAGCTGACGTGTTTTCTTAAAATGATTTACAATGCCATTTCATAAAAGTTAGTTTTTGCTACTGAATAAGATTAAAGCTCAAATAAAAAGTAATATAAATTTTAAAAGTTGTAATGTTTGCCCCCCCCGCGCTGTATTTAGTTTTCGAACGTAAAATTATATAAATAAAAAGATATCAGAATATTAAAAAATCACTGTATTATAGGGTATTTAAATAAAATTATGAAAAGAAATACGAGATTATTACAATTTGTTCGTTACTAGGTTTCATTATAATCATTTTATTTAATCATGGAGTCTTGTAGTAATGTAAGTATTCAAAAAAGATGATTATATATCAGTAAAAGATGTTATATATCATCGAGGAGCAGAAATTTTTTTGTGTGTGTGTTTCTCATTATTATTTGAAACAGACAGGATTGTATGCAAATTGTAAACGGTAACCCATTTTAGAAATGTTAAAAAAATGAAAAATTGTAATTTTGCTAATTTGTAAAAGCATTTTGTTTTTTAGATTTAGTTGCTCGTTAATCGAAAAATGTAAGATTTTTTACATCTGAACTTGCTTTTTATTTAATAAGAAAATATTTTCTCTAGGTTTCGGCATCCAAAGCCCATTGATCCATGGAAAGACGTCCTGAATGCCACAGAAGCTCCAAATTCTTGCGTGCAGATCAATGATACCCAATTCGGTGAATTCAAAGGTTCGACCATGTGGAACGCCAACAGCCCTCTTAGCGAAGATTGCCTTACAGTCAGCGTCTGGGTTCCAAACCCCCGACCAGAAAGTAATCTTTCCTTTTATTACTTTCCTTAGAGTTTTATAACTTTCCAGAATTTTGGCTTATCGTCTATATCATGTCTTGATATTTATTGACATCTTCCTGTCTTATATAACATACCACTCCTTCTGATAGTATAGCATCTTCTTTGAGGAATAATTTTCATTACGTAAACAGTTTGATATTTACGTAAAATGAAGTATTCACAGCTTTATTATTTTTTGGGGGGCAGGGGAGATTTTGTTTGCTTATATTCATATTAATACTGCGCCATTAACTATTAAGTTTATATGCAGTATACAACGTATTGCACAGGTTTTTATATATGCATCTTTAATATTATCAAATGTGAATAATGAGGTTAAATTATTGTTCTTAATATGCGTTGAAGCTTTTCTTTCTGAATTATAAGACAGTTATGAAACCAAAGAGCAAATAAGTTTAAAATTAGAAAGTAGTGCTCGAATATTATAAATTTCGTCGTATTAATTAAATTTTAATTGCAAAGAGCCTAAAACCTTAGCGCAGCCCGCTAGTAACCGGGTGATTGTAATCTGCACTGGTAGTTCTTTCTGGCTTTACTATAGGCGAACTGGCCTAAAAGCATGAAATCATAGTTTTTGTTTCAGCGTAACGCAAATATCTTAGAAACCTTTCCATATAAGTATTTCTTTTAAAGAGACTTCCACTGAATCCTTACCATAAACAACCAAACAACTAGCCACTAAGAACAAAATGCAAAACGACATGAGAAAAGAACTGGTTCCGCCCATTTTTGCAGCTAATGTTTTAAATGTGACGAAGGCGTTTAGACCTCTTTGAAGTTTATTTTGACATAAAGAAATTTCCGCCCATGTGTGAAGTATATTTTATTTACAACTAGTGTTCCACGTTTTGTGTAACATTTTTTTTCCAATGGCAGATTGTGAACAATTACAAATATAACCCAATTTATTAACCTATACAAGGCCAGGATCTGGTGGTCTCTTTATTATGGAAGAACCTAATAGGTGGGCCACCATCGCCTTTTCTATGAAGGGACGGACGGTTACAACCATGCCTTCTCGGGATTCGAACCCAGGCCTTTCGGCATCGTAGTCAGCTTCCCTGACCACTATACCGACTGGGCGGCTTTTTTATGTAACAGAGGGTGTAAGGTTCCAAACTTTGTATTACTGCAATGTGGCTAGAACGTTGAGAACTGATGAGCGAATAATCGTTTAGTTCAGCCAGATAGAAACGTAAACGTACGAAGGGTTAATTACCCTTTATTATTCAAAATAAATTTAACAGACGACTCCTTCTTGTGGAGTTACAATGAAGCCTTCTTTTGGGCTTGAACTCAGGAATAATGAACACTGAAGCTATCAAGGACCTGAAGTAGGCCGAGCGCAAAAATAGCTTTATACAGAGAGTATCGCCTAAAGGTTAACGCGCGCTTATCAGAATCGGTGGCTCTCTAACGGAGTCAGTAAAACTTCACAGTTAAGTACTTCTTCTCCTCATTTGCTTTAAAACGCGATTCTGAAAATACATTCTGGCCGGAAGTTGTAAGCTGAAATTAAGGAAAGCCAGGAAAGTAACTTTAACTCAAAGTGAACTGTTAGATAGATTAAGATAAACTTTACAAGGGTTATTACAAAAGGTAACTGGTTGAAGCACGGGGATACTCGTTTGTCACCATGGGTCACCGGGTAATACACTATTTCGATAATTCAGATTGAAAGTACAGCGAACGATATTGCAATGAAAGTGAAGGAATATGCGCATGCACATAGGAAGCCTTTCTCCTCATCATTCCATGAAGTGACATAAATTATTAACATGTGCCAACATGACTCAATAGATGAAGTTTGCAAAATTTTCCAAGCAGTATTCTGTTGTACCTTAAATTAAATATTCGACACGTTATTGATATCTTTGGACGTTGATATAAGGTGGGGCCCATTCATTCAAATTTTCTTTATATACGCCAAATAAACCAGGGCTTAGAACTATAATTTTACACGAACCAGGACTAACTAAGAATTTCAAAACAACTTTTGCATAAACAGCCTTTACTTTTAAATTTCTTTTACTAATCATAGGTAGTTTCCTGCTTAAAACTGATTTTCTGAAGTTTGATTAAAATAAAGAGAAAATGTCTTCCCTCTGCAGACGCGGCTATTTCATCTACTAAGATACATGGCACACAGCAACTACGTTACCACACGGATGCTAAAAAAAAAAAAAAAAAAAAAAAAAAAAAAAAAAAAATTCGTATCATCATTCAGTGTGGTCTTTCAAGTTGTTCTCTAAATCTTCCATTCGATATCAGTGGATATTTCATAAATTATTTGAAAATTGTGTATTTCTTTTGAAGAAATTAGGTGCTTTAATTATACGAAACAAGTATTAAGATGTACTGGGAAGTTTATTGTTAACATTATATTTTGCTTTATATACATATGTATACCGTTAGATGAGGCATTTTCCCCGCGCACGCAGGGAAGAAGCCGTTTTTCGCCAGCAATTGCATTGCAAATGCTTAATTGTCACTCGAAAATTTGATTTTACGAGGTAGAGAAGTAGGTTTTCGTGTTTGACCACAAAGATCACATGATTCGAACCCATTGAGCTTTCTGAGTGGGCTGTAACTCTGAACTTATCGCAAGATTGTCGAAGTAGCAGCGTCTGCGACTGAAATGGTTGATGTCCACGTTGTTGCGACACGCTCAGCTGCGGTGAGATAGTTTTCCCACAAAGCGGTGTTAGGATTGCCTGAAAGTGGTAGGAAATGGCAGGGTTGCCAGATTTGGCACAAAATTGTCCATTTGTCTACAAAATTAGCTATATTACCACAGACGAGCGAGAACATTCTCAGCGCTTTTCCCGGAGAATAAACTCAAAGGTAGGTTAAAGCTATATATATATCCTGCCTATACGCTCAGTAGTAGTATGTTGAGTTCAGTAGTAGTGTTTTGAGTTCAGAGATAGCTTGAGAGTGACCGAACCGAGGCGGGGTCTGTAATTTAGTGCTTTTCCGTGAAGCTGTCTTCACAGTAATAGCCTGAAGGCTGTGCTGCTGATTGTTTTAGCGTTTTTAATATACATATATATTCGACGACTGTAAACGTGTCTTTGAAACTCTTTTGTGTAATACTGACGAATAAATTACTTTTTTCTTCATCAAGTGTTATTATCAATTACTCAAAATCCACGAACCCGTAGAACGCAACAATATATTGAGGTTGCGAGACACAAACAGATGAAACTTCGAGAACTTCCTAACAAACTGTAAAACTACGTTTACTCACGTTTACTCTAATAAACATGTTGTGTTATATCATTTTATATTGCTTTATTTGTTTATTCTGCTCATACCTCTAGTATTTGCCAATGGGATTTTCATCCAAATTGTTCCTGAGCAAAAATGCTTAGTTTAGTATTTCTGACTTAACTTTAATGTATGTTTAAGGCATTTTGAAACCTCCTATATGTGTATATATAGCTACCCACATATAGACAGATAGATAGCTCTTAAATATCTCTAGCCCACCAGCGGCCGAGCGGTAAAGTCGCTGAACACTGGTAGTTCGGTCCGAGGTTCGAATCCCGCGAACGGGCTGGCTGCATGGGCGTTTTCGTGGTTTTCCCCATGTGTAACGTGTATACGAGCCAGTTTCCCTTAGAAAGTCCTCCACGAAAGGCATCCCTCCCCATAGGCAGATAGCCCTCGTGTGCTTTGCCATAACTAAATACACCAACACCAACACCTTAAATATCTCTATCAATCTATATACTTAATGTATGAACATATATATATATATATGTGTGTGTGTGTGTGTGTGTGTGTTCATGAATATGTTTGTGCTAAAAGAGTAAAAAAGACGCGAACAATTTACAGCTATTTATTGTGTCCTCGACGGGCGAACAAAAATGCTTTTTGACATCAATAAAATATTGAAAGATGATAAACGACGAGAAAGAATTTGGTGCTCTAGCGTCATAGATAAAATATTTACATGAATAGTGCTGATATGGAGGAAATATCTAAAAGGTGTGGAGAGATTTTGCTTTTGCAATGAAAAAGACAAATGTTTCAGTCTAGTTTTTTGTGTTCAATTCAAAAATTCAAAATGCCTTAATTAAAGTTAAAAAAAAGTTGTTTATTTGATTTAATCTGTTATGCTAAAAGCACAGTGTCGATAAGAATATTTCGACTCAGTGTCAAAAGAATAAGGACTATCTACATAATTAAGTTTTCAGATAAATTTTTATATGAATGTAGAAACGAACTGTGCATTTAATAGAAAAATTTAAAAACAGAAATTTTGCAATAAGTTTTGTTCAAACTATTTTTATTTGTCCCTACAAATGAATTTATGCAGTATTAGATTAATGAAGATACTAAAGAATTTGTGAGCTTTGCTTCCGAATCTGAGTGCAAAACTCCTTAAACTTTATATTTAGACAGATATCTACATATAGATATAAAGGTAGCTATTAATCTATGTATTTAATATATGAACATATATATAGGAAGAGAGAGAGATTCTGTGTCTTTTCTTTCTAAACCTAATTACTGCTAAATATTTTATGATCCAAATGAAATTTATTAGCAAATGAAAATGAATTTGAAAACGAATACTGTCAGTTAATTATCCAGGCTTTTGAATAGAAAAGCTAAAAAAGTAAACAGCGAGTGATATCTAATTATGTAATCATAACCAGAATTGTATATTCCATGCATATTGTAAACGTTTGATCACATTTACTATATTTCTCATACTTAAATAAATGCGTTTTTCCATTTTACAGTTAAGTTGAATGCATACAGTATTTCTTAAAATTGATGCGCACTTAGAAATGATGCATAATGATTTATTAAGGTTTTCGCTGATTTAAAATGCGTTTGATAGCTAAATGGTACACACAAACACTATTTAAGTTACATTGCTATAATGTAATATACCAAAAATTAATAATTGTGTCTTATCACGACACTACTTATAGCGCTGTGATAA